AACCAATCGAACCGCACTATAAGTTCCTACACAGAAATTCCAATTAAAGCCACTGCTGCTCTACTGAGTCGTCCAGGTCCGAGGTCCACGATGGTGGCAGTAAAGCAGAACATCTCTGGCTGTTTGGCATAATCGCCATAAAAATCTTCGATCGACTTTGAAGGGGCAGCTTGAATTTCATTTCGTACACGTGCTATACGAAAGCGCATTTGCAATTCCATCGCCGAAATGACTTCCCGGGTGAGCATTGCTTGCGCACCGTTTGCTGCTAGCCCCTCCAGTTTCAGAATTTTTTTATGTGGGGGAGAACATTTCCAACGTCTCGTTGGATTTTTTCCCAAAAGTAATCCGGCAAATTAATCTTCTGCACTTTTGGAGTGTAATTCGAATAAATTATAAGTTTCCTTTTTTAATTAATACTTACTTCGAGGCTCATCGATCAAAACTGGAAAACACGTCAACTTACTTTGCTTGACAGCATCAGTTTCAACATTGTTTTCAATATAACATTCAGGTTGCTGTGTATAATATATTGATCAACGTGAGTTGCTCAGAGTTACTCAAAATTAACTCCGATTTTACTCGTGATCGAAAGCTGTCTTGCCCCCAGACTTTTCCTATGACTTTGACAGATAATCGATTGTTCCAATTTAGACATGTCGTCTTTTTATAAATTCAGGATCTTTATTGCGCATTTTGCACCAAACTAGACTCCTGTGCAAAAAATAATTGCACAGTAATATTTTCGCACATGCCAGAAAATTAAAAAATCTGCTTATTTGAAAGCTGTAACAGCTTAAGAACATTGCTAGCAAGCTACGCTGTTGAATTAAAGCTCTAGAAAGCATTAAGAAGCTCCATATTTAACTTTTACACAGCAAAAAAATAATTTTGATATCACATCAAAGTGAATGCACTACAATCATGTCGAAAATTTCATGTAATTCTTATGACCACATAAATAAACAAATGCAGTAAAAGCAGCGTAATGTCAGTTCATGCATTGTATTAATGATAATTTTGTCCTTTTTAGCAAGTAATATTACACCATATTTTCGACATGATTGTAGTGCATCCACTTTGACGTGATATCAAAATTATTTTTTTGCTGTGTATGACCAGTGCGAAAATAATACTGTGTACTTATTTTTAGCGCAGGAGTCTAATCAGGTGCGAAATCCGCAATAGTATTTACTATAATTGTGTCCGATTAGCAGTCTGTTTAGCGTTCTCGTTTCAACGTTGTTGAGAGGTAAGTTGTAGTACCATGGCTTTTCTTTGAATTCCGGCTGGATCTCAAAGAATTTCTTTCCTTTCTCCTTGGCATAATCCTCATACCAAATATTTGTCTTTATCTCTTTTGTTTTCAGCAATTGTAAATATGCATCTTTTAACAATATAGGGTGCTTTAGAAGCTCGCCGTGCTGCGCTCTATGTTTGTTCAACGAGTCGTCTAGATCGTTAGCTCGGATGTCGATATGGCTTGGAATCCACTGGATGTCCACCTTCCATTCCCGGCATGTTCGAATGATCTCGTCCGCTATTTCGCTTCTCTCCAGATGCCTCTGGCTATGATCGAACAGCATACAAGATGACAGTGAATTTGTGAGAATCACAGCGTTCTTTACTCGACTTCCTCTGATCTCTTATGTTGCAACCTTAATTGCTACCAGTTCAGCAGTCATAATCGATGATTGGTGTTCCTACCTCAGCGAAATCCTTTTGTTCTTGGATTCCACAAAAACTCCTCCATCCGTAATCGAAGCATCCGTGTAAATCTTATTCCTGGATCTGTACTTTCCGTTTAGTAGCCCTAGGACCATTTGTTTCATAATCTTCGGGTTAGTATTCTGTTTTTTGAATGCGACCCCCACATTCATGTGGATCTCGATCACGTCCGAACTGGAATTTGCTTTAACCGTTCGGATAGGACTAATGTTCTGGAAGACGTTTTGATGTTCCAGGTATTGTTTTTCTAGGTATGTCAATTTGCTGTCGTCTTCTTCATAGTAGTTGTAGTTGTTCGTAGATCGGATTTCGGTATGCAACGCTTTTGGCGATCTCCTTGCATGCTATATATTTGCTTCGAATATTCCATGGTTCCTGACTTGATATTGAAAGTAGTAAGTTCAATTGCTCTCGTTTTGCTACATCCGGTGGCCCTTCGTAAGCATCCATTTAGTACCGTACCATTATATTCTTTTTTTTTGCAGACGCATTGTAGACCAAGTTCATCGTCTATGGATGACCTCCGTTTCGAATGTTACTGATAACTTTTAGCATTTTTAGTCGTTCTTGTATCTTCTCTTTTACAATCCATATGTGTCCTCCAAATCCAAGAAATCTATCGATTTGTATTCCAAGGTATCTGTGGCTGTTAACCATCTTATCGCCGCTTTGTTAAGCTTGATGTTCGTGTTATTTCCTCCATGGAATAGGATTGCTTTGGTCTTGCTTGGATTGATGTCTACGTTCAAGTTTCTTGCCTTAAGTGTGAAGTTTGTTAGTTGGTAATTCATCTTCTGATTTATAGCTTCAATAGATTTCGCTCTTACTATCAAGGCGAAAGCGTGGATTATTGTATGTGATCTTGGAATGGACGTGAATTCTAGACCAACAATTAAAAATGCCTTAATTCCATTTGGTAAACATACCTTGTAAGCCCATTTTCTCGCGAACAGAAACCTACATTCGCAAACCAAAAACACAGTCGGGTAGAGGAGAATTTCCCCTACCTGTTCATTTTGATGGCTTTTGTTGGCAGACTTCGGTTGGCGATAAAATGTTTGTAAGGATTGTTTACAAAAAAGACTTGAGACTTTTTCAATTATTGGGCTTGAATTCACGTCTTTGATGAATTTAAGTGGCGGTCGTCCAGCAGATGGAAATGATGTGAAAAATGATAATGAGGATTTGCTACCTGTCAAATCGCATGGAATATTTTTTAGTACATCATCAGTTTTGTAATTGCAAATCTGAAAACTAGGTGTCGCATGGCCAGTCTTGCCTTTGCCTAAATTCATCAATTCCGTCCATTGTTTTTTATATGTTAAACAAATATCCATGGTCAAATTTATTTCATAGAAATTATTAAAATAACATATCTACATATATTTTACATTACATATAGAAAGAAAAAATACGCCTTTCAAATGATGTAAAATTATATTTTTATATTTCAACCAACAAGTAGCCGACGCCGGTGGTGTAGTGGTAAGCGTGACTGCTTTCTCACCCCAATGGGTCTGGGTTCAATCCCATTCGAGGCCGGTGGGATTTTTCTGAGGCATAAAAATCTCTGGTCACGTCTTCCTTCGGAAGGGAAGTAAAGCCGTTGGTCCCGGCCCATGTGTGTTTGAATGGGTACGATATCCTACGCAGGTGTGGAAGCTGCCTTCCTGCACATTCGATTGTCGTCAATGGATGGCAATCGATGTCCGTCGGTGATTGGCACTAGATTGCGGAACAGAGACCGACGTTAAATAAAGGAAAGATTTCAACCAACAATAGATATTAACATTTAAGAAAGGCGCATTTTTAAAAGAAAATTGTCAATAACTCTTAATCGGCAAAAGATATTGACAAGTTCTGCGCGGAAAAAGTTAAGCCTTTAAATGTTCTAAATTTTATTTCAAGACCACTTTGCTGAGAAATTTGAATTAAAAAATATTAGAGCATAAAAACTGAGTTTTTAGCGGCACCCTTAGTCAATCAAGGGGGGACACCTATATAGATCTCTAAAAAAGGGTATTTTTTGTTAATTTTTTTAGAACATCAGAATAAATGGAATCACTTCGGGTTTTCAGTATGTTATTAAGCAACATTTCAGGTTTATTTGCGAAAATGTTGAGCCCAAAATATTAATTTTTCCGCTGTTTGAGGGCTGCTACACATACATATACACATTTTTTTACCTTGTAGACAGATTATTCGATAAATGTTGCTGATTCTTCTACCCGCGAATGAATTATCTAAAATATAATTTGGATTTTTTGGGTATTCCAACTTTTCGGTTTTATACGTTTTCAAAGAAAAATCAAACTTTTTTTAGAACGCTGCATTTTGGTAATTTGCGAATTTCGAAAATATCCTATGTTAGATTTTAGATATTTTAATGAAGAACTCAAAATACTAATTATTTATTTTTTCCGATGTTTCAGTGTTGGCAACATCGCCTGCATATATGTCTGTTTGCAGGGCTGCCAACAGCGGAAAAATATATTTTGGCTGAAAACATTCTAATAAAAAGCTTAATGTTACTTAATAACATACTGAAAACCCGAAGTGATTGCATTTATTCTACAGTTCTAGTGGATAGAGGGCGGGCTCTTTTCCCCCTTCATTGGGGCATCTTCCTGATAGATAGCTCGTTTTCTGACCAACGGACTGATCAAGTTGTTGGAAGGAGATTCTTAACTGTCCCAAGGAAATGACTAGGCGAATTGCCTATCAATCCGTCCATTCGTCCTTCATACAGCGATTTGCTGATAACAATCAGAGGTTATTAAGCTTGATCAAGTTCAACAGTGAGGAGATCCCACAGCTATCGAACTAGTTTCCGTGCTACAATGAGTGGTAGACCACTTTCACCATCATTAGGCCATTTTTTTTAAAGCTTAATCAGCGAGATTTTTAGCTCGTTGGCTAGTCCATCTCGGGTTGATTAGGTCACCTTTCTCTTAAAAATAGTGTTGAATTCGTACCACCTACGATGTTTATTTTGCAATTTGGCCAGACGATATTTTTGACGTTGTACTAGTACCAGTTCACAGTTTAACACAAAACTAACAAATTGCTCGCTCCCATTCAAAGTCCCACCGAGGGGCGCTGATGAAATTTTGGATTCCCTTCCATTTGAAATGCAGATTCCGAATATGAAATAACCTCAATACCCCTAAAGAACCCAATTCGATGTTTTCTGTTCACCATGAATGGGATAAGAAATAACACAATAATGGGATAAGAAAAGAATGGGATAACAACCCCACAAGAATTCCTACCTCTCCTTCCCCTCCCGGACGCATTCCTTGATGCATTCGGTCAAATAGCCACGCCAGTTTTGCACATGCAGCTCGGCGCCGAGTGATTCCAGTGGCACCGGTTTGGATTCCTCCATATAGTTGAAGCTGCATTTGCGCATCCGGTCGCTCGAGATGGTCCACAGCGTCCGGTAGTGCTGGATTAAATATGCCAGGCAGTCGTGGGAAGCCCGGGTTTCCGATAGTTCCTTTTCGTCCGGCTGCCCAGTGGCACCCTTCTTCCGCCGCGGGGACGCTGTCGAGGATCTAAAACCAATGGCGCGTGCATTAATGTTCGGTTTACAAACTTTTACTCATTTCACTTACCTATTCCCGGAAATTGAGTAAAACAGTGATGGAGCCAAACACACGGCAAGGTTGTTTGCCGTCATTTGATTTTGGCTCGCATTGGTCGTGACCTTTTCCAGGAAATTGAGCAACGTGAACAAAGCTTCTCGGTGTTCGTCCGGCAGCAGCAGAATGGCTGACTGAACTGCCTCCGCTCGGACCTCGTTCGGAAGGTCTAAAATTGCAATCCAACAATCAATACAAATCTGTTCCTATCTAACGTGCCAATAAATATCAACCCAACTTACACTGAAATATCGCCACAAAGGTCTCGGACAGTTTTGCCGTCAGCAGTGGATCCGGTAATTCCCTAAAGTATTGCTTTAACATATCGGCTACATCGTAAGCGTGATGGTCGTCGAATATCTCCATTCGGTTGGAGATATTGTTGCCCGATTCAATGGTGGACTTGAGCTTCGCTATCCGTGACTTCACCCCCGGTTTTCGAAACAATCCCACCTGATCCAGCGCGTTCAACTCCAACCAGGTCAGCGCCATCTGGATTATCTCCGGCAGAGTATTGCCATATCTTTGCAGGTTCAGGACTAGTGGTATTCCAAAAACTCTTCTATCTTTATAGTCTGGTGTTTTGATTCGTTTGATGAACTTTGGCAAATCCCAGTTCCAGCCGGAACGGTGCGTCGGACAGTAACGTTCCATGTAACCCGTCAGAGTGACCAGTGCCAACTTCCGCACCACGAGCAACTGACCACAGGACATTTCGACAATGCTGGTACCACCGGAGTATTTACTTTTCTCCTTGGCGCTGTCATCCTTAAAATCTACGGTACTCATCCGACGACCTTCCGAGTTCTTCGGTTGCTGAAAACTATGCCATCTAGCCACTATAGTACGTTTCCTATCGTCGCCTCCCTTGCCCTCGGTGGTCTTTGCCACCCTCATCGAACGATTATGGAATGCATCTCGATAGCGTTTGGAGTTTTTTCCCAAGTTCAACGATCCTCCGCGGTTCAGTTTGGAAACCTGAAGAGTATTACTGCTGGTCTCCTTTAAATCACTAGATACTTTAGCTCGCCTTAACTTAGACTGATACTCCGAATCCGAAAGCGCTCCGGAGTCATCAGCGGTCACTTTATTGCGTAACAATTTCTTAGACTTCGGATACTTTTTGCTTGGTGTCTTCACAACCCGTCCGGCAAAGTAACCGGTGTTCAAATCCTGGCTGTCTTCACTGCAAATCGATGACGAGTCATCGCCTGACTTTGCCTCCTGCAGCTGTATGAAAAAGTGTAACGGACTAGATCTATTGGTGCTACGTTTATGTTCCTTCTTATTGTTATCTTCTACCATGTGCCCAAAAGGACTAAGAGTGTAGGGTGACAGAAGGTTGGATACTATTTCATTTGTGCCAAGAGTGTTATCCCTGCGATGGTCGCCAAACGCCGCCGAGGGCCGAGGAGATGAGGGGTTGGAAAATGACATCATATCAATATGTTTCAAGTCGTCCATATTGTGATGAACCGGTGACAGACTGGAGGAATGTGGTCCACAGATGATGAGCCCATCGCGGTTCTGACGCTTCCTTCTGCGGGATTTTATCGACTCAACCCGTCTGAGTAAGGCTTTGGCTCCATCTTTGAGTCTTTCGCTGCCTGTCCTCCGTAGTCTAACAGGACCATCCTGCTGGTCGCTGTCCGACATAATGCTAAGTGTCACCCCATCGTCACCCCAGTTTTCCTTATCGTCCGTAGTCGTAGTCTTGGATCCACTCTTGGACGAGTCTTCTGCCGAATCAGTCTCATTAACTGTACTGACGTCGCTTTGCTTGGAGTGCTTCTGTTTGATGACGCTAACCAATCCGGCAGCGTCCTCTACCCGAGACCACCGTCGACTGTTGTGGGCAAAGGTCCATGCTTCCGACAGTGCACAGCTATCGTCATCCGAGTCCGGATCGTTCGCCTTCGGTGGATGCGAATGTTGGTGCGTATCAATGTGCATGTTCGCGCAGCGGTTCAACGTATGAAGCCGTCGGTAAAGCGACTGCAGTGGATCGTTCTCCAAAAACGGATGGTCCTTAGCGACGTCATTGATTTCGATCGGAAACTGGTGATCTACAGAAAAGATGGATTGAATTAATATGACGCCATTATGGTAATGCAACTGATGAACTTACCTTCGTACATTTGAGCGTACTGTGGAAAACCGGCAGCTCGCAGCCATCGACACGCTTCGATAGCTTCAATTTCTGAAACGAAAAAAAAATCCGTTCAACTGAGTTTAAAACCTTTTCAAAAAATAACAGGATGTTTCTTTCCCCATAGACAAATCCAGAATCAATCGAAATTCTTTATTCATTCAAATAATGTAACAAAATCGCCAGTATATTAAGATGCACCAAAGCTCTTCCAAAACTCGTTTTCCATACTGTTTTCAGCGGCAGACACGGCACGACCTCGTACCGAAGCAGAAGCCGCATTCTCCGCATGCTCCCTTACCGTCATCTCCGACTGGCTGCCCGTCCTGTTCGGCGCACCACTGCCATCTCCTGCAAGAGAGAAAAGCTTATCATCGTTTAGGCCACCGCCAGTGCCGGCTTCCGGGTCGTCTGTGACGCTGCGAGCCCGACGAAATAGCCTGGCCGCGAAGTACTGTTCAACATTGAACATACCCCGCTGCTTCCTGGCGTGCAGACGGGGACTCAACAGAAGGTCGGTTTTGGCATACGTACTCTCTGGTTTCGATTCGACGGAGCTCGATGGCTTTTCCTTTGGGTACAGCTTTCGTGAATTGATGGGCGTTCCGGGCACGGAGATACTTCTCGGTGGTTGCTGCTTTTGCCAGCCTTCCACAGATAATCCATCATTGGCGTTGGAGCGCGAAATTGGATTTTCGCTCTGTTTGTTATCTTTCAGCTGGTCAGATGATATCGGTTTGGTTGGTACAATATCACGTGTAATTTCTGTCACGTCTACCTCTTGGTATACTTCAGAGAACTCTCTTCGGAATGATTGTTTCGCTTCGGACTGGTCAAAATAATCACGAACTGTAGGATTTTTTACGTCGCTCGTGTGCAGTGTTTGCGCAGCCTCAGAAAAACTTCTCACATATGTCTTTTTAGCATCGGAAGAAGACATGTACGAGTTGACTGAGAAGTCAGTTTGAACTGGCTTCTTCTCCAACTTTGGTGGTTCAAATGTTCCAAACAACTCTTCCAACGAGTCATATTTAACTGCTGCGTCCTCGTAAACCTTTTTCTGCTCCATCCGTTCATCGATGACTTGTTGCGGTTGTTCCGATTTAGGAAGCTCTTCTCGCTGTATTTCCTGGTACACCTCGGAAAACTCACGACGGAAAGTTTTCTTCGCTACGGATTGGTCGAAATAATCCTTGATTGCTGGGTCCTTGACTTCAGTCGAATACAAAGCTTGCGCTGCTTGAGAGAACGATCTCGCGTAACTCTTCTTCGATTCGGAAGCACTCAGATATTCTTCTACCGAGAATTGCTTGTCTCGTGATTTCTTCGTTTCACTTATATCAACAGGTGTTGCTGCTTTCAGTGTTTCCATTTTCTTGATGAATGTATTCAAAGGATTGGCTAAATTTGATGCGTCACGATCGGCTGCGCTATCATCTTCGTCTTCATCGTCGGAAGAATCACTTATGTAATTCTGCTTCTTGAATTTATCCAGATGTTTCGAATTGATGGGCGTTCCCGGTACCGATGGTTTATAACCTTTGGTTGTGGCTGCAGCGTTGTCCTTCAATGGATCGTCCTGTTTATCCGATGGGTTCAATTCGTTGAATGCTTCGTTGAAATCTCTAGCATACGTATGTTTCGCAGATGACTCTTCAAAGTATCGCTTCACAACTGGACTCTTGACCTCGGAGCTGTGCAATGTTTGCACAGCTTCACTAAACGAGCGATGATAGGCATGCTTTTGCTCCGATTCCTTAAAGTACTGCTGTGCCACTTCTCCTTGCTCTTCCTGACCACTATCCGAACTATCGCTTTCCAGCTGTACGACCTCAGCCTGTTGCTCCTTACCATCCGGTTCATCGGTACCAAGCGCCTTCATTTCCTTCAGGAATTTATCGATCACCAAGCTGCTAATTACGATTTCGTTCGGTAGCGGCGCTGGTTCTTTTGGCAGTGTCACTTCAGATTCCGATTCCCGTCTACGTCGCAGGTAGCGCGAACATACCGGTGTCCCCGGAATGGACAAGTCGATTTTCGGCACGGCACATTTCTGGCTGGCTGCCTCCGTCTGAAGCGATTCAATGGAAACTTTTCGCTTGGATTCGTAGTAGGTTTTCATTCCGTCCAGGAACTTCATTTTGGCACGGTGGTTACGCTCGGCCACCGGATAGCGCTGTTGATCGGTCATTTTGCGGGGCGTAATTTTTGCTTCGAGAATTTCGTGAAAAATATAAATCACATGACAGGTTTGACGGAATTTTGCGGATTATCACGCTCGTGTGCTCGATTACGATTTTGTTGCGTCTTAACGGTCGGATGGTCAAACAATAACTGATATCGAAACTTCGTATGGTCAAGAATATCGGGGGGAATGTTTTAATTTATTCCGGAGATAAGATATCTTTCTATTCGGTCATAGATATGGTATCTAATTTAGTGTTATCAATCAACATCTTAAGAGCAACAGCACTGCCGTTTTGCTATAGTAAATTTTCAGAACATTCGACAGTATTATAAACGTATTACCATTAGGTGGAATGGGTCCCTTATTAGTTCAGTATTGCAGAGAATACAACAAGTCGTTCATCATTGGCTGTGATGTAAATGCGCATCATACCGTGTGGGACATCAACAGTCGAGGTGAGTGCATTTTGGAATTTCTCTCATCTTATAATATAGACATATGCAACAAAGGAAACGAACCTACTTTTTCAAATGCCATTAGACAGGAAGTTTTAGACTTGACATTTTTTAACACTGCAATTTCTGAGGAGATTCGAAATTGGCGTGCGTCAGATGAAATCTCACTTTTTGATCATAAACACATTATGTTTGAATCGAGTGGAGGTAATTTACCACCTTCTGCATTTAGAGATCCTATGAAAACAAACTGGGATCAATATGCACAGTGCTTAGATTCAGATATATTTACAAACGACGTAAAGATTGATTTTATCCAACAATTGGAATCATTTTCTGAAAAGGTAAACGAAAGAATTATAAATTCCTACAACAGTAGCTGTTCTATCAAACGGTCGTCTGCCGTGGTGGAATTTAAAGTTGTAACGCCTTCGGAAAGTTTCACGTAAGATATAATGTAATGTAATAATGAAATACGGAAATCTAAGAGGCAGTCTTGGATTCAAATGTGTGACAGTACTCCTATAGTCGCGAGATTACAGAAAACTCTTGCAGTCCGCATCGTGCTCTCTTGCCGTGCGGATCTATTTGCTTTTTGCTGAAGGAAGTGTTACTACTACTTAAAGCTACAACAAATTTAAACAGCACTTTTGAGTGCTCAACCTGTAAAAATGTTCTACCTTTTTCAACTCTTATTCCTCTTCGATCCTTGTTTGGACCCTTGGTAATCCTTCTTGGATATCGATTTGGAAAATTCCTCTTCGATCCTTCAGATTCTTATAGTAATCTGCTTGGAAGTCGATTTGGATAAAAATTTACTGCCGCCATGGCGCCTAAACGCAAAAGAAAGGGGCAAACTCTTGATCCCCCTTCTGATGAAATTAATTTGAGTAATCAATTTGATTTGCTCACGGATGATGAGAATGATCCATCATCAAAGAAAAATTCTAGTAAACTTTCCCGGCTTAATGCCAAGAAGGAAAAGATTCCCCCTATTGTGATAACCACTTCCGATTTCCATGCTCTTCGCATGGAACTTTTGAATTTCGTGAAAGTTAAGTTTTCACTACAAATTGGACGTCGGGGTGAATGCCGTGTATTGGCTGAAACCTTGGACGGATTTAAATGTCTTCTCAAGTATCTTACTGAGAAGAAGCACAAATTTTTTACTTACGACACCAAAACTGAACGTGTGTTCAAGGTTGTCATGAAAGGACTGCCCAGTGGTGAATCCCTGGATCAGATCAAAGATGAACTGGCAAAATTACTTGGAGTTGTGCCACTCCAAGTAATCAAAATGAAAATGAAATCCCGTCCTCGCGATTCGTGCAACGGGATTTCTAATGATTTTTATTTAGTTCACTTCAAGTCTAGTGAACTAAACAACCTTAAGGCCTTAGAAAAAGCTAGCCTTATGCTCCATGTCCGAGTGAAGTGGGAACACTTCAGGAAGACTGGAGGAAATTTCCAAAACCTCACTCAGTGCCGTAAGTGATGGGGTCACGGAACTAAAAATTGCTACATGCCAGCTAAATGCCTCTCACGCAAAGGACGACTGTCCTGTGAAGGAAGATCCTAAGAAATTTAAATGTTCAAATTGTGGTGAAAACCACAAATCCAATTTTTGGGAATGTAAGACTCGCAAAGCGATCCTACAATCTCGTTCTAAGCGACAGGTAGGAAACGCTCCACGTTTCCGACCAGATACAAATTCCTCTGCTGTTAACAACGGTCAGCGAGGAACAAATTCTACATTCGTACCCGTAGGTACAAATATCACCCTTGCTTCAAATTTTTCCTCTGTACCTACTCCCCTCGCTGCTAACAATGTTCAGCGAGTTAATGGAGCTACCTATGCTGCTATTGCAGCGGGTAGAAATCAAAATACTAACCAACGTAATTCTAACGGAAATTTTGACAATTTTGACTTAGGAAGCATTACTGCCCCTAAAATGGAATTTTTACAGAATTCATTAATTTACATGATTTCTGATATGCTTAAATCTAACTCCATGTTTGATGCTATTCAAACTGGAGTAAAATTTGCAAATAATATTGTCATGACTTTAAAATTCAGTAATGGATTTTAAAGCATTAAATATTGTAAATTGGAATGCTCGATCTCTTAATGATAATGAAGACGAGCTATTTAACTTTTTGAGAGTTCATAACGTGCATATTGCCGTTATAACTGAAACGTTCCTTAAACCTGCCCATAAGGTTAAGAAGGACGCAAATTACTTGATTTATAGAAATGATCGTCTTGATGGACCCTGTGGTGGCGTTGCCATCATTATTCATAGACGAATCAAACATAAAATTCTTTCTTCATTTCAAACCAAAGTTTTTGAAACTTTGGGAGTTTCTGTTGAAACAAAATTTGGACAACTTACGTTTATAGCTGCCTATTTGCCATTCCAATGCGTAGGCCAGCAAAAGAATTTTCTCAAGGGTGACCTCCAGAAACTTACCCGTCATAGGTCTAAATTCTTCATTATTGGTGATTTTAATGCAAAACACCGCTCATGGAATAATGCTCAAAGCAATTCCAATGGTAATATTCTGTTTGATGATTGTTCTGCAGGTTATTACACTATTCAATATCCAAACAGCCCAACATGCTTTTCTTCTGCAAGAAATCCCTCAACTATTGATTTGGTCTTAACTGATTCATGTCATCTTTGTAGCCAATTGGTTACCCATGCTGACTTCGGTTCTGATCACCTTCCAGTAACTTTTGAAATATCCCAAGAAATAATTTCTAATCCCAACAGCTTTACTTTCAATTACCATAGGGCTGATTGGGAGCAATATCGAACATTTATGGAATATAACTTCGATCCAAACATTCCTTTGCAAACCAAAGATGAAATTAATTGTCCTCTTGAATCTCTGACTACTTCTATAGTTGAAGCAAGAGCTGCCTCAGTACCAAAATGCGAGGTTAAATTCGATTCAATTATAATAGACGACGATCTTCAGCTCTTGATCCGTTTTAAAAATGTCCGTAGGAGACAATATCAAAGAACACGCGATCCTGCCATGAAGGTTATCTGGCGGGATTTGCAAAAACAAATTAAAAAGCGATTCTCTGCCCTGAGGAACAAAACTTTTGAAAATAATATTTCTAAATTAGACCCGAGTTCCAAACCCTTTTGGAAACTCACAAAAATTTTGAAAAAACCTCAAAAGCCTATTCCAGCGCTTAAAGAAGGTGGTAAAATTTTGATCACAAATTTGGAAAAAGCTCAGAAACTTGCTAAGCAATTCGAGAGTTCCCATAATTTCAGTTTGGGTCTTACTAGTTAGGACTAGTAAGACCCAAACTGAAATTATGGGAACTCTCGAATGAAAAGTTTCTGAGCTTTTTCCAAATTTGTGATCAAAATTTGTGATTCAAATTATTGAGAATCAGGTTGCTCGGGATTATCTGAATATTTTCTCTCGGGAAAATATTTTTGATGATTCCTGGGGGACTGATTTGGACGAAGTAAAGTCTATAACTAAAAAGTTTCAAAATATAAAAGCTCCAGGTGATGATGGAATTTTCTATATCCTCATCAAAAAACTCCTAGAGAGTACCTTGTCTTTCTTGGTAAAATTATTTAACAGATGTTTCCATTTGGCATACTTTCCTGATAAATGGAAAAATGCAAAAGTTGTTCCAATTTTGAAGCCGGATAAAAATCCAGCTGAAGCTTCTAGCTACCGTCCAATAAGTTTGCTTTCTTCAATAAGTAAACTTTTTGAAAAAATAATTTTGAATAGAATGATGCTTCACATCAATACGAACTCAATTTTTGCAGATGAGCAGTTTGGATTTCGCCATGGGCATTTAACTACTCATCAACTCTTAAGAGTTACCAATTTAATTCGTTCAAACAAATCGGAAGGCCACTCAACTGGAGTTGCTCTTCTAGACATAGAAAAAGCATTCGACAGTGTTTGGCATGAAGGTTTGATTGCTAAATTGAAAAAGTTTATTTTTCCACTTTATATTATGAAATTAGTTCAAAATTATTTAACTGACAGAACTCTGCAGGTAAATTATCAAAATTCCAAATCTAATCGACTACCTGTTAGAGCAGGAGTTCCTCAGGGTAGCATTCTTGGGCCTATATTGTATAGCATTTTCACTTCGGACCTCCCTGATTTGCCTCAGGGTTGCCACAAATCTTTGTTCGCTGATGACACAGGCATTTCCGCTAAAGGAAGAAGTCTTCGTGTTATTTGCAGCAGACTTCAGAAAAGTTTAGATATTTTCTCTTCTTATTTACAAAAATGGAAGATTTCTCCCAACGCTTCCAAAACTCAACTTATAATATTTCCACATAAGCCCAGAGCTTCCTTTTTGAAACCTAGTAGTAGTCACATAGTCACTATGAACGGAGTTCCAATTTCCTGGTCAAACCAAGTGAAATATCTTGGATTAGTTCTTGACCAAAAATTAACTTTTAAAGATCACATTGAGGGCATTCAAGCCAAATGTAACAACTATATAAAATGTTTGTATCCTCTTATAAACAGGAAATCCAAACTTTGCCTGACGAATAAACTTCTATAAACAAGTTTTTAGACCGGCCATGCTTTACGCTGTGCCAATATGGTCTAGTTGTTGCACTACCAGGAAAAAAGCACTTCAAAGGATTCTGAACAAAGTTCTGAAAATGAT